AATGTGTCATAAATCCAGTGACTATATTTAGTCCATGATTTTTTGTATCCAGGAGGTTGATCAAGTGAAGTGAAGTTCATCTGTGAAAAGTGTTTTGTAAATTCCCTTTGAGGATTAGAACTGAGAGATTGGAAAGAGAGTGGTTTTCTTGTGAGAAATTTGCCCCCCACCAGTAATTCGGTATTTTTGGTTCCATCTAGGTTTCCGGTGTGCGTTCATTCTGGTGTGCAGTTGTTGTTTGGTCTTGCCTACGTATTTTCCATCAGAGCGTTTGGTGCATTGGATGAGATATATTACATTTCTGGATGTGCAGCTGTAAGATCTGGGAATGCTGGTGGCTCTGTTGTGGGGTGTAGTAAGTGTGGGGGTGGTGGAGGTGTGTTGGTAGGATTTACATTTCTTGTCATGGCATGGTCTGGATCCATTTGGTGTGGTTTGTGCCATAGGAAGTTTGCGTTTCGTGATGAAGTTAGTGAGGTTCGGTGCTTGTTTGAAGGCTAGGATGGGTAGTTCTGGGAAGATCTCTTAAGAACAGGGTCTCCTTCTAGTATGGGTTACAATTGTTTGAAGATTTTCCATATAGGTTCGAGGGAGGGGTGATACGTCATAAGCAGTGGTGTGTGATTCGTGGGGGTTTTCCTTCTGTATTGCAGCAATTCTTCACATGGTATCTGAATAGCTGCAGCACCCAGTGGCCACAAGCTGGCTATAGGTGGGCCTGGGTGCTGCCAGGCCTGTTAGATGCCTGCAGCACCCTGTGCAGCTGGTTGGCATGGCCCTGGCAGCCATGCAGTGATGCAGTGCCAGGGAATAGCATTGGGGTTCAAGCAGCCTGTCCTGGGGAATGCAGTGGCCACGGGCTGCCAGGAAATGCCCCTGAGCCCCAGCGTCCCTGCAGCCCCTGGGGCTGGGGCAGGCATAGAGCTGGCCCAGCCCTGGGGTAGGAGAGGCTCCCAGCCTCAGGGCCCTGGGGCTAGCCTGAGGCTGCCACCCTTATGGTGGGGCTGACTGGGAGTAAATTTGCTCCTGGTCAGCATCTACATGTGCGCTATTGCGCAGTAACTAATTGAGAATAAATTTGCTACTTGTGTTTGCAGGTAGCAAATTTACTTGTGATTAAAGCAGTTTACTGTGCAGTAAGCATCTGTACATGTAGACACAGATGCTTAATGTGCAGTAATTTGCTCAACTGCACAGCAAAGCATCTTGTGTAGATGCACCCAGTGTTGACAATATAAGCCTTAGGCCTTATATATGTCTTAAGACGTATACTCTAAGGAAGAGAATAGAACAGTGATTCGCAAACAGGGGCCCACAGATATTAAGGGTGTTGTGCCTTATTGAGAACTGTTAGGTGTGCAAATACATGAGTCACAAGATAAACCCAGAGATTTGAAATGGGTATCCATAGTGTCAGGGAGATTCTGACCTGTTATTTTCTTTCTGAGATTTTTAGAACAGAAGACTTGCTCTATTATTTTTTAGTAGTCAAAACGTTAACCTAAGAACCAGCATTTTGTGAGGGGTAATATAAAAAGATGGACAACCACTGGCTAAAACTTCCTGACAATAGGATTCGAATGAGTACTGTGAACGCACCATTTTCTTAGAGTGGCCATGACCAAAACCAGAGGATTAAATATGGAACTACAGAATTTTTCAGCTTCTCATCCTTCCTCATAGAAAGAAGCAGTTAGCCACGCTAGTCTGAAGTTTGACAGGAGGTAGGGCAGGATAGCATAACAGACTAACAACCCAACACAGCTACCTACCTCTCTAATGTGCCACCCTGCCCTGTATCCTTGTGTGTCCTCTCCTTGGCTTAGCTCTGCTTTCCATCTTCATTTGTGAAACAGAACGGTTAGAACAGCAACCACAATTTTAAAGGGAAAAAATAATCACTTTTCAAAGGGAAAAGAATAGTTTCAGTTGGATGCAAGGAAATATATATAGAGGGCTTTGGCAATGTGTCTTGAAAGGGGTAGGGGCGGTATTTATCTCAGTATCAGTCAGGATGGTACCTGTGAACCGTGCCGTCTCAGGCTGTGACAGCCAGGTGCATCTGGACACTGGTAACAGCAAAGACAAGGAAAAGATCCTGATGATCATCATGACCATTCTCTTTGAGAACCAGTGGCAGGTTTTTCCCAAAAGTTGACCAAGTAGGCTGTGTCTAGATGAGCGTTTACGTTTGATTCCCTGGGGACAAGTAGCAGCAATGCACCTTGTACTGCAGCTGCTTGTCCCCTGGCACTTGGCAAGTTACTGTGGGGGTGGTAGGAGAGGCTGAGACCACAGCAGCCTTTCATGGGATCCTGGGGGCCTCCTGGGGCTGCAGCAGTGGTGATCCTACCACGCGGATCCTGGCTGGCAGCCGCAACATGGCCGTGTGTCCTGTCTCCTCTTTTCAGTGGCACATGCTGCCCATGTGTGCACTGCTCCAGTTTTTTTTTCTGCAGTTTTTCTTTGACCCCTGGATATCCAGGGGTCAAAAAAAACCTGCAGAAAAAAACCCAGCCAAGCAACACACACACAGGCAGTGCACCCTTGCAATGCAAAGAACACCTGACTCTGCAGCATGTGGCACTGCAGATGTGTTTGCGGCACCACATACTGCAAGACTGCACTCGTTTGGACGCGCCCTTAGAGACCACTCCTAATACACTGATGGAGAAGAGGTACAATATCACGGTGCAGATGCTGATCATTAGAGCACTTGGAGCACCCAAGCAATGAGAACATCTGGTGAGCCTGCAGAGTATACTACTGCTACTTAAATGATGAGGCACCTCATGGTATCTGGTATCATTTGATGGTCAAGGGATATCTGTGTCAAACACATCACGGGTTATTGCTAATACGAACGAGGGGATGGATTGAAACTCCCTCACACACACCAAAGTCACAAAGACAGTTAATGGCATTAAATATTACCCATCCCAGCAATTATATACCACATTAAAAACATTGTTTGAAAGTGTTTTACAGTCTGACAACTGTGCACACGTGGTAACCATGCACGGGGTCCTGTTTCTCTTCTCTCCATAGTGTTGCATTGCAACTTCTTAACCCCTTTACCCAGAGCTAACATAGGTTGCATAACTAACTGCATGGCTTAGCCTGTGCTAACATATGCCAGCCACATATTCATGTGGCTACTATGTGCAGAATCCTCCAACTCTGCAAAGCCATAATTTGAACATTCTATAGAGATGCTAGGTATTATTATATTACCTACTCTTCTGTTATCATTATATTGTCACTGTGTGCCTACTGGGGCTGCTGTTATTTTGTCTGTCTTTTTTCTTTCCACTTTCTTCTCTCTTCTTCCTCTCTGTCCTTCATTGGTAGCATTTCTCTTCATTCCCCTTGTCTCACCCCTTCCTAGCTCTTCCTCCTCTACCACTATCTCACCTATTTTTATCTTCTCTTGTCCTACTTAGGTACAAAATTATACTTTTGTCCCTCTAGTATATACTCTGCTACTATCTGCCTTCCACTTCTGCAGCAGGACAGAGGAGAAACAGCTCAAATATTAGTCTAACAGCTACCTATAGTGGCAGCAAACCTGTCTATAGGCCTGCCACTTGTAGCCCTGCCTGCTTCTATCTGGCTGTTTCCTGCAGTGGTGGCTGCTCACATCAGAGTATTGTACAGGTGGTGGCTGGTTTCATAAAATCACAGAAAGCTAGGGCTGGAAGGGACCTCAGGTCATCTAGTCCAACCCCCTGCTCCAAGCAGGACCAGCCCCAACTAGATCATCCCAGCCAAGACTTTGTCTAGCCAGGCCTTAAAAGCCTCCAAGGACAGAGATTCCTAACAATGGAAAACAATCCTTGATAAGCATTTGCACTGCCCTGACCATGGGTGACTGGTGCCTCCTGAGTCTGGGGGGGCACCAGTGGGGCACGATGGGGCGGGTAGCCAATTTCTGGGGGGCACTAGCACTACTCTCTATGCCCCCTGCCAGCCAGAGCGCTTGCTGTCGGGGGGTGGGGGGGTGCCCCCTCTACGTGTTGCCTGTGGCCCTGACTAACTGCCGTTACTAACTGCCCCGGCTGCCCTGGTAGTTCCTTTGGGTGGCGGGGCTTTGGGGCAATGACCAATACACTTTGTGCCAAAGGAGGACAACACAGCTTTCTGCTTGTTGGGAAAGCAACAGGGACCGGCCCTGGATGGCCAGGGCCACCTGCCCTGCCGACACGGCTCTCCTTCCCCATGGCGCCCAGCTCGGAGCCGCCTGGTGCTGCCCGCGGGGAGCTGCCCCCATCTCCCTTCCTTGGTCGGGCCTAGGTGGGGCGTGATGGACTGTGTCGTTGCTCAGAAAGCCTCTGAGCTCCGGAGGTGTCCGTGTCCCCGGCGGAGGCCCGCGGCCCTCAGGCGGGGCAGTCTGGGCACCCCCGAGCAGAAGCAGGGCCACGAGGCTCCCCTGCCGCCGGGGGCATCTCCCCTCCCCGCCGCACGCAGCCCGCGGGACGCGGGCACCGAGGCAACG